ATGTCATTCATAAATTATCAGTCGCTGAAAAATAATGCATGTGTTGTATTACCAACTGGAATTTGATGGTAAATCTACAAGTAAAATAATTCCCAATGAGGATATTCGATTAGAATCAACTCCACGAGAAGCTTTTTCTTCCTCTAAAATAATCAGATGACGCATAACCGAAGTGAAAATAAAGCCTTTCATTAAAATTTCGTAAGTCTTGATCTTGTCCGTTCAATTATTATTGATAGCTTAAAAATAATTTACAAAAGAATACTTCAACATTAATTTAATTATTGTGTCGATACCAGAACCTAAACCTTTTCAGGAAAACGGCACATAATAAAAAATAATAGGTCCATTAACACAAATAATTCGAGACGAGCTCTGAATAAAATGTAAGGTAGTCTTGATCGAAGGCCTTCGTCGTTTGTGTTTCATCGACTTGAATAAGTTACAGTTTCTTGGTCCTTGCCTAGCAATTATTACATTTTATTACATTTTACATTTTAATTACATTACATTTTACATTTTTTTACATTACATTTTTATTACATTTTTATTACATTTTACAATTGAAGCAACTTCGTTCGCCGACGCAAAATTACGCAATATTTGACGATCGCCTTCTGATGAGCCATTTCTGCTTGCAAGGATTTTATGTAAGAATAATCATCTATCAGCACAAGCGAGAAAATTTATGGCTGGGATCCACTGTAATCCACTGGGATCCATCAATTGATCGAATGTAATGAATATTACCTTGAATATTAGTTTTTGAAGAGTAACTTATTAATCCATTATGATGTAAACTGGGTCGCCTAGTTTGTCTCGAAAAATGAAAATAAGCACAACATTATTTGAGAGATTTTGAAGAATATTTCCTTCAAAATACAAGCGACAGATCGAAATTTTGTTCCAATGCCCATCCACGCAAAATATTCTGCACAAGAATTGTCCAATCCTTCGTAAGTGCGCCAAGTCCTAATCAAAAGTTGCTCGTAAATCAAGGCATGAAGATGAAATTAACCGTTATCAACACTTTGCAATCCGCATTCGAAGATAAGCAACAAGCCATGAGAATCTGAAAGTGTATCGGTGGGGTGGCGATAAAAGCTAGTCAGAACGCACCATGTGCCTACTTCATCGTCGATGCTGTAATGTTTCATCGAATTGATATAATCCTCATGCGAATATAATGAAGTGCGTTGCAAGCGCTCGAGCCGCACGCTTCTATATTCATAAGTCAACATTTGCAGAACCCAGTGCCATTGAATAACTCCGCCCTAATGATTCCATATTCTAATTTGTTCCGGTCTTACAAATAGCAAGATCAACAACCTCGTTGGTAATGAGCCGTCATTATTTAGCCTTTATTAAAAATGAAAAACAGGAATAAGCGAACTAAATTAAAAAGTACCTTGGAAAATCGTTCACCCCGGAATGGTAATACTTAGTATTCGTTTGATGCTAATATACCTTGAAAAGTTTGGTCAAATCTGTATATAAAATGAAAAATTTAACGACTCTCGGCATTAGTTTCATTTGAAATCGAGGTTTCCGTGAGCCCGAGTGCGAGATTGCAGCTTTATAGAAAATACGTTTGCGTGCACCTAAGTAATGGGATGACCGATCTCAATGATCCGGGTGCAAGTTCGATGTGCCTTTTATAAATTTATTTTCGTGCCGTACGCATGGGCGTACGATGAAATTGCCGGCTAGGCCGTTTTACACCTCACATTTAGGTTAAAGATTTCATAGAATTCTACTGGAACGATCGTTCGCGAAATTCCTCCCAATGACGTTATCGTTAAAGTGAACAATTTGCCCTTTAATGTTTTATCATCCGACGCTTTACAGAAATCAGCCTTGAAACATTTCAGCAGTCATGGAATCTTTTACTTTGTGATTACTTAATCCATATTAAGATATGAGTGCATCAATCCCGCTGAATTATGTTCAAAAAACGTTAGTAGACAATGAGGTGGTTTAGAGAAATTTCCATGAATTGGCGAGTATATCATGCAATTCGTCCATTACTTACAATATTAACAAATATTTTTCGAGAGTAAATAGAATGTGCGTAACATTTTGAATTCGTAAACTTACAGGAAACGAATATGTTTTTTACGATTATTTTGGTAAACAAACATATTAGTCGTGGAAAAAATTTATTGGCAGGAATAAACCGTATATATAATACGATCATTTCATTTGAATGGCTTTTGCATGCACCCCTTTGATCTCTTTATGTAATACAAAGCAGTAAGCCTATTACTTATATTTAAAATTAGAGACCATCAGCAGCCATGCAGTGTAGTCGACCTCTCATTGAAATTCTGTTATTTTTCCTGGAACTTCAGATGGTTTTATTAGTAGAGAGCCAATATCTATTTTGCATTAACATTTCATGCAATAATGCTGCATGGGCTGTTTTGGTTTTTTCTTTGTTCAACTATGATAGTCGAGAGGCCCCAGATGTCATTTTTCATATGTTCTGCACCGCATGCACTGATATAAACTGTTGGATAAACTCGTTCCAGTAAATTATGAAATCTTGAACACTAGGCAATCTACGGAATGCATTTTTAATAGAGATTTAATTTCATAGTCACGAATTACGGAAAGTATTTTTAATTTATATTTCATATCATAATTACAATTCCTCTTCCTACATAAGTTCATTAGTAACAACGACATTATATAACTTATCATCATGTTCATCATGCTATCATTAAGCTTGTGTATCATTCGAAGTTTGTCCCGCAGAAATGATAACCATGCACAAATTAGACGTGATGAACAGAAAGGTATGCTTGTATTTTGATCACCATTAACTCATGGGGCTTTTCAGGGCATACTAAATTCACTGGTCGAAAATAACTTTGGGTTAGCAGTCATATATAATTTCCAGTCTACGGTTGTGCCACGTACTATTTGAATAATTGTCAAATTTGTTGCACTGCTCCACGGTATTAAGATTAAGATCTTACACACTTGCTAGATCATCAACCGCAAAACTTTATTAAATTTTTAAAAAATTTTGTTAATATGTAAAATTTTTAAATGAAATCGTCAAGTCATTGATTGAACTCTGTAAAAATTCATTGCATGTAGCAAGGGTTCAGTTATTCCGTAATTTTAAGTTAAAATAACCGTTGAAGTTCAAGCGTCTTGAGAATTCAGCTTATAAGTCTCTCATATTGGTGAAAATAGCTACATGCACATGTTCTCTTTATATGACATAAAACCCTGAGGTTTCTCCAAATCTATTGGAGCTAAATTGATGTCATGATCATTAGTTCTGTTCTCAGGAGACTCCTTAAATTTGGAATTGAGTTTTCATTATTTGTACTCATAATGCAGACGATGAAAGGTACTTTGAGGCGTACCGTTCATTCAGTTCAATCAATCACATTCTCGTCGGGAACAAAGGAACGCAAACATCACGGCACGGATCGTGCCCCGTGGCAGTCAATGTGTCCAGCCGTTCACGAGTTTTGCGATTATGGAATAAACTAGGTTAGTTCAAGCATAAATACTTCCATGATTTTATTCACGCACTGTATTCATGAATAACCGAGTAGTGCTCCACTCAAAATGAGGATATATAAGTGGCATTGCTGATTTAATTTTGAATTTGATAATAACTTCTGGAACACTCACTTCTATAAATAGCATTGCGATAAAATAAGAATGGTAAATGTCTAGTCCATTTAGATGCACTGTAGTCACACTCAAACAATGAAATATGCAAATTCATGTTTTTCATGAAATAATATTCGGACAGAAAAAGTAATATATAAAGTACTATTTGGGCAGAATTGCGCATATAATATTTGGACAGATCTTAAATACGCAATTAATGTAAATGGGACGATATAGGAGAGTGTGAATTGACTTAATTAATTCGTAGAAGAAGAAAATTACGCAGCTTTGAAAACCAAAAACCATGTGAAGTGAAGGAAACCGAACTTTCATATTTTAATTTTAGAAACTGTAGAGTTTGTTCTGAGACTTCGTTGCTGATGTACCATCATCAGGCTCATGACATAGAATTTGAAGCCCTGAAAGAGAACTCCTTAAATGGGCAAAAGAATTCAAGTAGACTAGAGAGAAATTATTCGTCTCATTTAATAATTTTACATGATTGCTCTCACCCAATTGGTAATCTAACCTCTACGGCGGCCGAAAATGACACTAGTGTGGAGGAAAAATTAAGAGCTTGAATGACGCTAATAAAGATTCTATAGAATCCATGAGACGTTGTGAAGTGTTGGACTGTCCTCCAGTGTCCGGCTGTCATAAAACTCAATTTTGTACTCCTATATAAATATATCACATCTTTCAAGGTGTAATGAGTCATTTAGACCTGTGTGGTGCCGGACTTGGCTGAAGAAACTTAACTCATTTCAAGCACTTACGCTGCGTTGGAGTTTGACTAACCTGAGTGTCGTCGAAAGAATGAGGTTTTTAATGTTGAAAGAATGAGTTGTAGTCGAAACAATGAGGTTATATGACATATCATTTTGAGTTATAAAATTTTTTTTGAAACTCATGCGCTTCGTTGGAGTTTAACTAACCTGAGTGTCGTCGAAAGAATGAAGTTATTAACGTCGAAAGAATGAGGTGTCGTCAAAAGAATGAGGTTAAATCCTTTTGGGTTAGTAAAATCCATGCGCTTGAGAGTTTGACTAACCTGAGTGTCATCGAAAGAATGAGGTTATTAATGTCGAAGAAATGAGGTACCGTCGAATGAAGGTATATTCTTTTGGGTTATTAAAATTATTTTGCAACTCATGTGCTTCGTAGGAGTTGGACTGACCTGAGTGTCGTTGAAAAATTGAAGTTATTAACGTCGATAGAATGAAGTTTTTAACGTCGATAGAATGAAGTTATTAACGTCGATAGAATGAGATGTAGTCAAAAGAATGAGTTTATATCATTTGGGTTAGTAGTAAAATCCATGGTTATATAATAAAATCCATGCGCTTCGTAGGAGTTTGACTGACCTGAGTGGCGTCGGAATAAGGCGTAGCAGAGTTGGTGTTGACGCACAAGGAGCCGAACTGAGCTCCGGCCGAGAGAGGGAAGTCCATGGCTGAGTCTTGCCCGCTCTGCGGAAGCATCTTGTGCGCAACACTCCTCTAAAGTTGGCGATGTTTTCAGGATTCTTCTTGAGATTTTCAGAGTATAAAAGGTCCGAGACTATTTATAACAGTTTCTAATGTGCACTGGAAGATGCCTTAAAGTTTTAGTCGCGTCTAGGGAAGAATTTATTTATGTTTCTTGAAGAATAAAATGTTTGTGTCGTATCGATGCTTGATTTCCGGGAAATTTTGTTATCACTTGATGAGGTCATTGAGCAAATAGGAAATCAAATTTTTCATTTGAGTTCTAGATTTTTAGTTTAATCTAATAAAGACATTGACCTGGAACGGAACAGAGAATAATCACATCAAATTGTCACCTTGCAGAGTAAGTACTTAAAAACAAAACTATTATCGTCAGCGCTCTAAAACAATTAATCAAGAATTATTCAATCGAAGTCGAAAATTTGCTGGGAAGCAGTTTAGTGAAGAAATGCTATTCGTATTTCATGTAACCTGAAATTTTTTCTTTTTGTATGTGAATCTATCATGAAAATTGACATTAATATCAAATCAATTCTTTGAACTTTTACAGATGTAAAGTAACCAATTAATTCCGCTCTTGCAGTATATTTTGATCCCAATTCTATGTCACTAAAATCATTCGCATACAGTTCGAATACAGTTACATACATACAGTTCATCTAAAATCATTCCATGTATATTTTAAACTGGTCTATCGCGATGCTAGAACGAACAATATCGAAACAACTTGCCAAACTCGATTAATTTGGTAATTTGGAACAAATGAACAAAAAATTCCAATGTGGAGCTTCGTCAAATGCACTCTACTCAAGATAAAGATTCGAGTCGAAAAAAACTGGCAATTTTTGTACACGCTAACAAGTAGCCATTTACTGAAATCGAAACAACTTAGCGTATCCTCTGAAGGAGCACATATTTTTATAATAATCTGACTTAAAACTTCGACTAATTACGATTTTTTTATTGATCAATGTCGTCACTCATACATTTAACTTTCCTTCAATTATATTTAGTAGTTCTTTCGCGCAAATTACCCATGTCTTCATCATCATCTTTAAGTAGGATTTATGTTAGAAAAATCGCAGTTAAAATTCTCGGTATTGGCGCTGTTGGCCGCTTGGGAGTTAAGGCCTGCGGCTCCCAAGCAGCACCGCAGCGTTCAAGTCTCGACCACGTGGCTGCTATATTCATCTTCTTTATAATTCCTCATCGAGTTTAATAACACTGATATCTGATCAAACTGCTGATAATTACATCTAATAATGACTTTTGGAATAAAATGCTTCGAACTACTCCGGGGCTAGGATAAAATTTAAATATGTATATTAAACAGTCACCGATTAAGTAAGTAGATTTATTTTCCCGTCATTTAGTAAACCGTGGCGAGGACGGAAGATGTGGTATAAAATGTGTAGTTGGTTTGCTAAGGACATCGTATTCTAGCATAATTTTACCTATAATTCTTTTACGTTTACGTTACAAGAAGAATTGCGTTACGTAATTCTTCTTTACGTTTTTGCCTTTCGTGCTGTCTTTTCCATCCTGTTCCATTTAAGACTGCGGAACACACTTCCGATAATTAGTTTTTTGGCCCATTTCATGTCAAATTAGGTCATATTAAATAAACTGTAGCCAGGATAATTGTTTATATGTATATCAATCCGATCACGCTTTGTATATCGATAAGAGTTCTCAGTTGTGAAGAAATTGAAATCTGTCACAGAGCGGAGCAATGCACCAATGATGCATTCTGTACCACTAACTGGGACCACGGTACTAGAATTTTTTTATGTTTAACCAATGTGAAATTACATGTCCTGAATAAACTTGCCGCCAGCCGCACAAATAGGAACTAGTTTTCTTGTGACGAACCATTAATTATAAAATCAGAGAAACCTTCATTAAAGATTATTATAAACTTAGCAGGGATGTAATTGTTACATATTTTACTATTTTGTAAAAATTTCGTTTTATGGCAAAAAATCTTTCCAAAATTTCAGTTTTTTCTCACATTTTATTACTTTCACAGTTTTTACCCGTCTTTAAAATTTTATGGATCAGATTTATAATCTTCCTCACTCGATGAAGCGAAAAATTGTTCGTTCTATTAGCTAATTTAATTCACGTCTTTTAAAGTATTTTTTGTTCTTTTCTTCACTGACAACGTTTTGGAATTTTATTCAGATTATTCACATCAAATAAATAGATAAAATATGAGACCATTCATTAAAACTTAGAAAAAAATCGCAGGACAAACAAGTAATAAATGCACGCTTTACTGAGTTGAAATAATTAAGTTATTCACTTGAAGATACATTTCCAGTAAAGTAATTCAACGTCAAGAATCGCGGCACTCGTCAGGGCATGTCGCTCCTTCGCACGACCACCTGAGCCTCCGCCGCGACCTCCGCACGGCACGGAGGTCCGGGTCACTCTGAGCCGCGCTGCTCAACGTCGTCAACACGTGGAACACGGACGGTGTTGCCATCCCGCGGTCATCCTCCTGTGGGAGGTGCTCGGTCTAGGTGCCTCACTCTGATGAGCGACGTCGGTGTTGCCATCCCGCGGTCAACCTCCTGGCTGAGGTGCTCGGTCTAGGTGCCTCTCTGGCCGACGGTGTTGCCATCCTGCGGTCATCCTCCTGGCTGAGGTGCTCGGTCTAGGTGCCTCACTCTGATGAGCGACGTCGGTGTTGCCATCCCGCGGTCAACCTCCTGGCTGAGGTGCTCGGTCTAGGTGCCTCACTCTGGCCGACGGTGTTGCCATCCTGCGGTCATCCTCCTGGCTGAGGTGCTCTGTCTAGGTGCCTCACTCTGATGAGCGAGGTCGGTGTTGCCATCCCGCGGTCATCCTCATGGTTGAGGTGCTCGGTATAGGTACCTTACAACCATAAACACCACTAGTACCATTTGCTATTATCAGAAATATTTCAGTAACTCTTATTTTCATTTTAATAAATACTAGTTACTGGACTTACCGGCATCATCTGTATAAAAAAAGAGCTGCTGACCTTTTTTTGCAACTGAAAGGACATTTGTTAACCAGAACTGACTATAGGGCTTGTAGGCTTTGTTTTTTTACTTATCAATATAAGTCGCATGCGCTATGATCGCTTCTTACATAAAATTTCATTAACCGAACGAAATAGGCTATGGTCTGACAATTTTGTCTCTGAAACACATCCTCGTAGCACAAACTGTTATTTCCTTATTATAGGATTTTAAGTGAGCCAAAATATTTGCCTGACCTCGTAATTAATTACCCCTTAGTCGCCTTAAATGTCCAGCATTGCACAGTCATCGTCTTAGCTCTCATTTTAATTACAAAGGATGACCTTGGCATTCCTCATCAATGAATAATAACTAAACTTTTATTTTATATTTTCTCTGATTAAAACTGAGAAATCGGTATAGAAAATTAGCCACCATAATTATTATTTATTATAATAATTAGCCACGGACTCTCAACAAAGTTCCCGTATATTAAGGCCTTTTAATGCCCCAGGACCAAGATATGTTAAAATAAATCAAGAGATTTGCGCCACTATGACTCATGAGGCTTGCAATCCGGACTAACCGAACAGCTCGAGTCCAGCGTTCCGCCCAATCACTGCGCAGTGGCGGTGCTGGTGCGTGCGTTAGCTCAGCGGCGCGAGCTTACGCGTTCTACGCGCCACCGAACGCTGGGCTACGCGCTCTACGCGCCACCGAACGCCGGGCTACGTACGCTGAGCTACGCGCTCTACGCGCCACCGAACGCCGAGCTACGCGCTCTACGCGCCACCGAACGCTGAGCTACGCGCTCTACGCGCCACCGAACGCCGAGCTACGCACTATGCGCGCCACCGAACGCTGAGCTACGCGCTCTACGCGTCACCGAACGCCGAGCTACGCGCTCTACGCGCCACCTAACGCCAAGCTACGCGCCACCGAACGCCGAGCTACGCGCTCTACGTGCCACCATTCATAGCTTCTGTGAAAATGTAGACATATTTTAAATCTAATTACTTCTTAGTCATTCGCGATGGAGAGATTTTATAAATATATCATTTATGTTACAACAGGTTCGACGAAGGAATATTATCTCTGTTCCACGTCTCTGGTCGATGGAACTAAAATGCTCCAGGTTTTGTTTGCTTCTTTCAATCAACATTAAATTTGAGTATTTGAGTAAGCAGACAAGACTCAAACAAATAAGTACCCTCTTCTCGTGCCCTGCAGTGTTATAAGTATAGCTAGACAATATACAAATTCTATAATTTTCGATCTCCCAGCTCCAGCTAGAAGTTTGGTTCGACTCATTGAAAAGACGAACAAGAAGATTGCTAATAAAAAGCGTGCTCTGGTCTTCAATCAAACTTGCATAAAATTCTATACAGTGCACAAACGAATCCGTAGACTATAATGCTGTGATGGCTACTCATGCCGAAGTATTAAGGTTGAGATTGCAGCGTTCAGTGCTGGCCTTCGGCAGCGTCTCCCACCGCTGACATCGATCGCTTCAACAAAGCCACTTCGCAAATTATGATACTGGAAGTTGAATATCACTCGAATAAATCTGTCCCCCAGATTTGCATGTTGACTTAGGTTGCTCCACGGCTCCTTTATTCTCAAGATAAATGAGATATCTTGAGGCCTCTGCAAAAAATAATTGTGTTTGCTGTGGTTATGAAATCATGAATTAGGCGTGCTGGGGTAAGACATCTGCGGGTTATATAGGTACTCGATCGTTGCCTTCAAAGCGGGAGATAATGTGTGCATGTTTTTGCATGTTCATGCACAGGTACGCAAGTCTGGTAAAGTGTGGCACTTTGTCGCTAATGTCAGAGGTGGTGAACTATTATACAGCCGCTGGGGCCCTTTAATATTCCTTATTGAGCTCGCGCATGTAAACTTACTTTCGGACTGCAATGCACTGCGGGTTTCTTCACCCAAGTTTCAACTTCGTATCTGCCGGTTACTTCTTGGCCGTGTTTATTATGTGCTAAACTGTGCTAATTGTATAGACCGTGAGTCAATTCTAAGAATGAAGAATGTTCTTACAACAATTCTACATGAAAAAAATCTTCATGAGTCTTGATGCTTTACACAGTATGAAG